GAATCCTGTCGCTTTATAATGGTTTCCACACTTCATTAAGCAGTGCAACCATTTTAAACTGTGATAATAATCAGAAATGTTTCTTGAGCAGCAAATCAGCATATTAGAATGATTTCTGAAGGACCATGTGACACTGAAGAGGAGACGTTGAGGTCTGACATCACAGGGAAACAAAACCTTTATTTTAAATTGTACAATTATTTCACAATATTACTGTTTTTGACCATTTTAAATTTGATAAATGCAGTTGGTGAACATGAACAAAGAACCTTACTAATGCAAAACCTTAAAACAGTATTGTATATATCATAATATCAAAACAAGCACACTTATGAACATTTGTTAATAAAATGATTGTGTTAACATCAAATTGGTTGCTTGTTCTATTCCATAAAATGCCGTGAAGTATTTGTTTTCTCATTTTATTAAAGGAACACTTTCATGCTTGTGTGTGGTCTTAGATTCCTATTCATTTTGTAAATATAAGCCAAACAGTTTAAGAACAATCACACCGGGATAGATGAAAAACGATTAGTTCACAAATACAAGTTCATTTCAGCTGTTGCACTCAAATGATAACTAATAACAGACACAGTTTTAAAGCATTGCAAGCTACAGCACAACGAACTGAAATCAAAGTAAGCAACTAGCTAAACTTTGCTGCAGGCCTACTTTATTCTAACATTACACAAAGAATGTCTGCAATCATTCAGTCAGGGATGACTGCACAAAACTACTGTGCCACTTTATATCTGACTTACATTCCTACCATAACTTCAATTGCTAGTCTATTGGAACTTATTTCTCTTCTATCACCTGATTAACCAGCAGTTGGAGCAAAAGATCTAACAGTAACTTATACAGTGAATTTTGTAAATGTTGTTCAGGAAACCTAAAACTTCAACTTCAAACAGTGCTGCCAACTTTTGAGTTCAGCCTGAAGTAAGAATTATTCAGGAATAATTAACAAGCTTGTGATTAAAGGTACAATAGGAGATCTTGGAAAATGCTAACTTTAGCCTGATAGCACTGAAAGCGAACCTCCCACCCTTCCTGCAATCGCCGTCCAAAGCCACGCCCCCTGAATGCATTTACACACAGAACAGAGACAACATTACTACAATAGGCTACATCAGGTTCCCAATTCCAGCCCATATTCCGAAGTGAAGTAAACTTCAACGGATTTCCCCTGCTCAGGGAGTAGGGAGCAATGAACTCTGTGTAGGGATCATATCGATCGGAACACAGTTCATGCACGTAGCTCACTTCTAACGAGCTGGCGCTAGGACTGGATTAACCGCTGGGCTACATCATGTGTCATTCACCAGTGAGAAATCTTTAAAAGTACTACAATACCAGGAAGGAAGATCGGCTTGTTGATGTTTGCCTGCCATCCTCGCTCTGTCGGCACAGCGTGCGTGAACGCGCTGATGAGTATCCTGTCTGCGCGAACTGGGTGCGCAGAGGTATGCTAATACATACGTTGACAAGCAGGTAGGAAAGCATATTAAAACGCTCGGACCGAACGTTTTGATTAGACGAACATTTCTTGATCCTACACCTTCCACAGAATATATAAATACAGACAAATACATTTAGACCACTTAACTTAATGATTGCTATCGGGATGTGAAGAGACTTTCAACCAGCATAACAAAAAATGTTTCTAAAGACAATCACCTATTGCACCTTTAAAACTAACATTTTTTTAAATCTATAAACTAGTTGATGTCAGTAATTGATTTTGTTGGATCAAGTAGTCAACCATCTTGCCCACCCATACCTACTACTGTCATATATTCATTGCCTTCCAAGATAAACTACCATTCAAAAGTTTGGAGGCAGTAAGATTTTTTTTTAAATAAATTAATACTTTTATGCAGCAAGGATGAACTGAATTGTTCATTTATAATGTTACAATACATTTTAAATATTACAATTATTTCAAATAAATGCTGTTCTTCTGAACCTTTAAAAATCCTGAAAAGTGTATTATGGTTTCCACAAAAATATTAAGCAGCAAACTGTTTTCAACATCGATAATAACAAGAAAAGTTTTTTAAGTAGCAAATCTCAAGCATATTAGAATGATTTCTGAATGATCATGTGACACTGAGAACTGAATTAATTACTGCTGAAAATTCAGCTTTGCCATCACAGGAATAAAAGTACATTTTATAATACATTAAAGTAGAAAACAGCTATTGTACATTTTAATTATATTTCACAATATTACTATATTTACTGTATTTTAATAAAATAATGCAGCCTTGCTGAAATAAGAGACTTTCAAAAACATTTAACAAAAAAAAAAAACATAAAAAAAAATCTCTCACCAACCCCAAACTTTGGAACTGTAGTGCACTTCATTTTGACATCAGTTAGCATCAAAAGTTTCTTTCAAAATTTAAACATTAATCTGAGAATCTCAGAATGTCAGGTCAATTCTTTTCAGTCTTATCTAATTAAAACCAGACTCTTTCACCCAATATCTGTGCATTCTAAAATAAATAATTTGGTTCTAACAGATCCGATTGCTGGGTTTGTCCCTATTTTACCCAGCACTTGGTTGTATTTAACCCAGCATTTGTTAAACAGAGTGTACTTGTTAAACCTGTGTCCATACAATTTTGTTTAATCCAAAAATTTACTTCTTAAAGGAACACTTTCGTGCTTGTGTGTGTGGTCTTAGATTCCTATTCATTTTGTAAATATAAGCCAAACAGTTTAAGAACAATCACACCGGGATAGATGAAAAACGATTAGTTCACAAATACAAGTTCATTTCAGCTGTTGCACTCAAATGATAACTAATAACAGACACAGTTTTAAAGCATTGCAAGCTACAGCACAACGAACTGAAATCAAAGTAAGCAACTAGCTAAACTTTGCTGCAGGCCTACTTTATTCTAACATTACACAAAGAATGTCTGCAATCATTCAGTCAGGGATGACTGCACAAAACATGCAAACTAGGGATGTCCCGAGCAAATCTCAATGATCGTGATTGGGGCCGATCAAGCGTTTTTTTAACTGATCAGTATCGGCTCTCCTAAAGTCAGTTGTGCTCAGCCGCCTTTAAAACCAAAAGAAGAAGAAATGTGTGTTCGTGATGCACGAGAACCAGTAAGGGTCTGTTCTAGCGTGTCACACACATTTGAGTTTCCGCGTTCAGTGTATTTGATGCGCACTTTTGTAACGATCACTCATTCATTTATCATTTACTTTTATCTGCCGTCAGACTATCTGAGACGTCGTTGTTATAATGCGTTGTTATGGGTTGCGTCTTGCTTCGGATTTGACTGATAAACTGGCATTCTGACACTACAAGCTTCATGCTTTCTAACCATAAGTTGCAATTATCCTGCTTATTGTACATGTTTACATCTATGTCTTTATACAGTGTGTGCATAGAGAGAGAGCGAGAGTATCTTATAATTATATATTACAATATGCATACATACATTAATTTTACACTCTGCTCAACTCTATATACATTGGATTGATTTTTATAACTTTAATGTACTTGAATTGTGCACCAAACACTAGGAATGTACAAGTATCGGATCGGGACTCTGTATCGGCAGATACTAAATATTTAATGACTCGGGTCAGATCGGGGGCACAAAAACCTGATTGGGACATCCCTAGTGCAAACTAATGAAAAACATTATTGTCATGGTGCGTGAGGATAGAGGAAGCGAGGACTCAAGTGCAGGAGGAATGGTTCTTTCTTTAATAATAAAATGAAACAACATTTAACATTTAGACCACTTAACTTAATGCTTGCTATCGGGATGTGTAGAAACTTTCAACCAGCATAACAAAAATTTTTTCTGAAGACAATCACCTATTGCACCTTTAAGTAGGCTACATGTAATTTTTTCCTAATTTTTTCTAAACAACTATACAGGGAACCCTATTGTTCAGGTTAGACCATTTTTATAATAACGTTATATCTATACATTTTTATTAATTATAATAAAAAGATTAATTATATGAGTAAAAATGTAATAAATGTAACTTTTTGCAAAAAAAATCTTCTTTCTAGTGTACATTTTTCTTGCTAGTTTATGGACACTGAATGGATTTTCTGCGGTTATGTGACAATGTTTTCAAGCTGTTGTCTTTCCGCGGTTGAAACACTCATTGAGTGATTACATGAGACACTATGCATTCAGTAAGTTGTAATGTATCTTTCAACAAGCTCTCGAATGTTCATTCATGTTTATTTCGTGCTAATTAGAATGCGGTCCAGCTTCACTTGAACTGAGGCAAAGCGGGAGCACACGTGAACAGTCACGCCACTAAACAGCTCCAATCTGTATTTATCAATTGAAATTATTGATAAAAGTAACAGAATTTGAATGCTGAGTCTTTGTTTCCTATTATCAAAAGTAACCTGCTCTGTCTTGTCGGTCCGTGCGTTGTCTATGTCCTCTTTGCTCTGCAATGTTTTTCACTCCATAAGAAAATGGTGATCATGGATACAAATGCATGGTGTATTTTGATGCACAACAAACACTCATTCAACATTATCTATTAAGTCATAAAGTTTCATAAACACATATATTCTTAATTAGGCTTTAATTAGACGCCATTTATATAAAAAATAAAGAGGAAGAACGGAGGTGGATCAGGGGGAGGGATGGTGGGCCAGGCCCGTGTAGTGGAAGAGGCCCTGGGGATAGAGGTAAACCAGGGTGCGAGGGCGGGGCCAGCAGGGCAGGAGGCCAGGACGGGGCCGGCAGCTTGGCCGGCAGCAAGAGCGGAGCCTGCCTCAAGGCGGGAGCCGGCAGGACATGAAGCTTGAGCTTGGGCGGAGCCGGCAGGGCAAGGAGCTTGAGCTTCGGCGGAGCCGGCAGGGCAAGGAGCTTGAGCTTGAGCGGAGCCGGCAGGGCAAGGAGCTTGAGCTTGAGCGGAGCCGGCAGGGCACGCCCCGAGCAACCTAGC